ATATATGAATAGTCTTGGTGTAAACTAGATCTAGTTAATTTCTTTTCCTCTCACCTCCTAACTTTAATGTCTTCACTTATTACTTTTTCTCCATTTTGTGTTATGTTGTTTATTCCAAAATTGAATAGCACAATAGATTTATCCGTATGTGTGCCATGAAAATATATTCCTCAGCATTTAAGGTGCCACAAGTGTCTTCATTATTGTATCACATTGGAATGTTTATTAGCAGGACTCTTTGACATTTGAAATTGAATTGTTTTGATAGAAAGACTACGTGTCCCTGTTTACCATCTGTTTCAGAGTGGAGATGCTGTTGTCTGGTTATGCTGAAACCTTGAATTTCTTCATTTACTTTTATGGGTACACCTGACTTTCCTTGATCAAAAACACTCAAATTGAGCTCAAGTTCATGTGACTTCATAGACCCAAGGCAACTTAAAAAAAAAAAAAGCAAAAACTGACACAGTTTGCCATTGCCTTCTTCCAGGGCTAGTCTCAGCTTCTAGTCTACAGTCTTAGTATTTTCTGATGGTCTCCTTTCCAAGTACTAACTAGGCCTTGCCTGCTTAGCTTCTGAGCCCAGGCATGGTAGCCTAAGGCTGCACTTGTTGAGGCAAAATACATTAAGAATATATAGGGCTAACGGTGCTGGACTCCAAAAATCCGGACATCCACTAGAAGGCAACAAAACGTGAGGGATTTTGTATTTCTTGGCTTCACCTACTTTGCTTCATTGACAGCCGTGCAATTTTTTGGAAACGAGACAGGCGTCTTTAGACTTCGCCGCTATTAGCCATTTAAACACGTCTTCAAGCAACCCGGAAACTATATAGAGGAAGACATGCTCTCCTTTCTAGCTCTATGCTGCTAAACTCGCGTTTCTTCTGCTTCCGGCAGGAAGGCGTCCCCTTATTGGCTGGGAGAGCAGGAACATAATGACGACACTGGGATGCCGGGCAGAATCGTCGGGAAAGTTCGAGAGGGGCATCTTTGCGCTTGCGCCGCCGCCTGACCCGGAAGAAGCGTTGATCGTCGAAGAAGCCGGTGCTCGGCGCAGACATGGAGGAGGTGAGGGGGAAGCAGTGCTGCCCCGGTAGGGAGACCTGGATCCAAGCTGGCGGGACTGCGGCGCAACCCCTCGCTGGCCTGGGCGGTCCGGCGTGGCGGGGGGCGGGGTGTCTTCTACGGATGGCTTACGGGCATTAGCAGGGTTTGGGATGCTGGAGATGTCAGCGCAGGGATGCTGTTGCGCAGGGAGGTGGACCACGAGAAGGAAAGACTTCTGTGAACAGTAAAACGCGCCTTTTGCTGCCCAAGCGGTGGGCGGAACACCCGCTATTAGGGCTGTCAGTATCAGCGCGCCCCTGGGGTTTCTGGCGGGAGCTTTACCCGGAGTTGGCAGGGACTGGAAGCAGAGGTTTGCTCTAGCTCGGTAGTGAATGTGATGGGGATGGGCGGAGGGAGTGCCTGGGATCCCTTCCTTTTTCAGAGTGTTGCTTTTGGAAGAGGGTGGAGAAACAGAGAGGTTGACAGGATTCTGTGTGTCTTGAACTCTGGTGGTATTGTGGTGGTACGCAGATTACGCCAAAATTTATTTGTTTGATTTATATAGATGCCAGAACCAGAGTGCTTCTAGTTCGGAATTGTTGTTGTTGTTGTTGTTGTTTTGGCAGTTGTGAAGTTGTGAAGACTGCCTTCAGGTCAGTCTTGACAAGCCCCTACAGTTTTCTTGGCAAGGTTTTTCGGAAGTGGCTGGCCCTTGCCTGCTTCCCAGGGCTGAGAAAGAGGGCCTGGCCCAAGGTCGCCCAGCTGGCTTTGTGCCTGAGGTGGGACTGCAACTCACGGCCTCCTCAGTTCTAGCCTGGTGCCTTAACCATTACAGCGGACTGGCTCTCTGGTTCAGATTTTAGGTGGCCTCATCTCCTTGCCATTGACAGTCTCTTCAGTCTAGGGGTAAAATCTATTTTTACAGGGCAATGGTCAAGATTGCTCTGCTGAGTTTAAGCAACTTAAGAGAGATGATGTTTTTGATCTTCTGGTAAAGATGTCCTGTGTCTGGAATGCTGTTGTAACTCTTCAGCATCAGAACTTTCTAAATGTCAACAGAGTCTGATTTTATCCTTTGGTTTGTCTCTGTGGTTTGATCTTTATTGTTAACATTTTATAAGTTGCCTTGCAAGCAGATGTTGATAGAACATTTGGTAGAAATGTTAATTAATTTGTATACTCAATATATTCCTCCAGCTACAGAAAGATTTGGAAGAAGTGAAGGAGCTTTTGAAAAAGGCGACAAGAAAGAGAGTGTATGATGTTCTGCTGGCAGAAAAAAATAATATAGAGAGGGAAATCAAGAATCAGCTGCCACTCAAACTAAAAGCTGAAGGATCTGAAGAAGAAAAACCAGCAGCCACAGGATATACAGTGAAAATCAACAATTATGGTAGGAATGGATTTATTTTCCCTCAGTATAGGAATGCAGTAAAGGAAGTATTGTAGCTAAATAAGCTGCATAAACTGCTTATATTTATTCAGTTGTTGAGTATCCAGCATTTATTTCACCCACGTATCACAAGCTGGCACACATCTGAAAAAGTAAGTTAGTATAAGAAAATATTGCACGTGTCATAGACAGGATTATATATAATATAGTATATTGTGTGAACACAGGAGTAAATCAGAACAATCCTTTGCAGAATTCAGCTTCATGGAGCTGCTAATTCTTATTGTTTCAAGAACATTGATACAAATTTCTAGCTATATGGTGCAGTTTCAGAAGGAAGAATTGTTGATTTAAGATTTGCAATATTAGCATAGAGTTTCAGTTTTCAGTATTAGCTTCTTTCTCTCTGATTAGCAAAAGCAGAATAAATGAAGCAAAAATCATGTAACATTGATGTGCAATATATAATACATGTTGTTGAGGGTTTTTTTTAGTATGCACATAATTTTTTATTTAGAATGGAGTGTATCTAGCCATAATTATAAATATTTTCCTGTTGACAATCTAATGTTTCATAAGGCTTTTAGTATAACTAGGAATACTAGATTATTCAGAAACAAAGGGGGACAAGAAAAAAAAACCTTCCACTTATTTGCGTCCTTCTTTTATCCAAAGCAATATTCTTCGCTTTGCCCTTTGGAAAATTAGGCTTATGTGTCCTACTGGGAAGAAAGTGACTGGGGAGAGGAAAGAGAAAGGAATACATTAGAAACTTGAATCAAACTTATATTTCAAGCCAGGGTGATTTCCACTGAGATTAATAATTGTTACAAAAAAATAAAGTATAATGGAAGAAGTCACTTACTGTGAATCTGATATACACTTCTGGATAAAACCTATTTCCATTTCGAACTTGACATTTGATTGCATACAAGCCACTGCTTTCTTGTAGAAATTCTGTGTTTTGTGACTTAAATACAGTACATTATTATAAACTAATAATAATAATTGTTCCTGCATATTTTTATTTCTAATATTCTTTCATTTCTGAAACTCTGGGGAGGCTGTTATCTAACCACTTGAAAGAGACAGCTTAAAGTGAGAGCACAATATACATATTTAATAATAATTATTCATCATAAACCCTAGACTGTATTTTCCAAATTGCCACAGGGGTGGGGGTGGGGATGTATGGGCACGGCTCATGCTTTTGACTGGATTGCTGCATAGGAACTGAGCCCCCTGACATAATTTTTAAATCCATTCATAGGCTGACCAATATGAGAAAGTTATGTAGGTGGATTATAAAACTTAAAATAAGAAACCTTTGATTCATAGCCCTAGCTGGCTTATCAAGCTGGCTTATATGGCCCATAGTATCTCAGTCAGACCCTTCCCCAGTGTTGTTAACTGTCTCTCTGCTCTGCTTACACCTCATCCTTCCTCTTCAGGGGCAGAGCAGGGGGAAGTGTTGGTGTATATCTAGGACCTTCTCTCCACCTTTTCTGAGTGGAAAAGCATGGGTTGGTTCCTGCAGGTTTGTTTGGTATGTGTTTCTCCTGTATTGGACAATCAATTTTTGTCTCCATGGAAGGTACTGGGGGCAGAGCTTTCTTCAGTTAAGTCCTATTCCTTTAGTTATAACTTTATTTACAGTAAAATACTAGCTGTCAATTATACCTTATAGATGACCGAAAGCAAAACATGGAGAGGAATAAAACTGAAATCTTAAATGGCACGCACACTATGGCAAGATGGGCATTTTGTTGTTGTTCAGTCGTTAAGTCGTGTCCGACTCTTCGTGACTGTCAGGCCTAGCCCAAGGAACTCCAAGAGACCATGTAAATTCAGTCCAGCTATGTTTATTAGCTACAACCTCTAGCAAGACTCTTCCCAGACTAAAAGCCCAGTTCCAAAGTCCTCCAGGCACAACTGTGAATTCTTCAAGGAGGTGCCAGTCTCATCCTCTTGTTCCTCCCACGCGGTTCTGGTGAACTAAGAAAATGTTTATCTCCCTGAGCTTGGCCTTTATCATTCCATTCCATCACAGTGACCCCATGACCCATATCGCGCCAGGCCTTCCTGTCCTTCACTGTCTCCCTGAGTTTGCTCAGTTTCATGCTCACTGCTTCAGTGATGTTATCTAACCATTTCATCCTCTTCTCCTTTTGCCTTCCATCTTTCCCAGCATTAGGGTCTTTTCCAAAGAGTCCTCTCTTCGCATTAGGTGACCAAAATATCTGAGCTT